GCAGGAACCCAGCCAAGAAGAAGTTGAAGGGCGTCCAGACAAAGATCTCGGAGCTGCCAGCGGAGGAACCTGATGAGAGTGATGATGAGGATGAAAAGGCGAGGAGCAAGAAACTCACCTCTTACCAGGAGGACTACATGTGCCTGTCAAGTTCTATAAACAACAAAGCTAGACTTGGAATGCGAAACAACAGGGCCTTGCATGCATGCAGGAGTTCAAAACTTTCCAGAAGTTTGGGGACTCCTTGCTGTCCAAAGCTTCCAAGCTCGCGGACTTGCAAGCCGATCTGGAGAGCTTTGTTCAGGAAGGCAGCAAAGGACCGGAGCAGAAGCGCCTCAATTCGTCAGGGGCTCATTTTTTGAGAGTCGAGAACCACTTAGATACATATATGTTACAATGTTATAAGTTTGTTGTTAGGGGTGCACACGGGGGTTGGGGTGGGTGCCAGCACCGTACACTGACACAACTGCCTCTGCAAGTGTTTGCTTCTGCTTGTTTCAAAGGTGTCTCAATGGCCTGGAGCAGGCTATCGCATGCTTGAATGTGGAGCATGAGAAGGTGGAGGCTGAAAAGGTCAATCTTATCGAGCTGGCCGACAAAGACTGCAGCGATGAAACCGCAAAGCCGCTACTCACCTGTGCTTTATCGAATACACTATGGCACTGTGTGTGTTTTCTCGGAACCCGCCTGCAACTAGGCTGATGTATCAGCTGTATGAATCAGGTTGCTGGCCAAGATCAAAGAGCAAACTAAGAAGTGTCGGCTTGCGTCTCTTGTCCACAACTATACAGATCCACTCATGTATGCGCTTGATACGAGGAATCGTTCTGCCTGTGCATGTATGAAGGTGCAGCAAAGTCGCGGCACAAGAGAACTCGGCTCGGCTGCTCAACTCAATTGAGCAGGTACATGTGTTATACTTTCATTCCATGCAACACTCCCACATGTCTAGAATGTGGACTTGTTGCTGCTGGGCTCTTCAAGGACACAGCTGAAAGCATTGCAAAAGGCTGCTGAGGAGAAGGACGGCTAGTGGCAAACCGCTTCCGGGTATACAACTCATATCCTGGCATGCCCTTGGTATATGAGCTCATGGGCACCGGCCACGCGCAACGGGTAACCTGTTGCTTTTGCGAGGCTCGGTATGATGCATCGCTAGTGTGCTCGAGCTTGAAGGCTTCATGGGGAAGTGGAGTTTTGTGGCTCCTTATGTGTTTTGCATGGTACAATGTGCCAGCTGCTGATCAAGCACTCAAACGGTGCTTGGAAGCCTAATTTGTCCGCGACCGGAATCTGGATCCCGGCATCGGGTCAAAGAAAGTGTGGGATGAGCTTCTGTGCGGTCATGTGCATGCCACATACATGCGGGTGTTTGTCTGTGTCTATGTACTTTCCCAGTGCCAGCCAGGGGACAACGCGAGAAGTCATCTTCTGACGGAGCTCGCAGGAATGGTGGGCAATGGTGTGCCTTGGCTGCGAAAAGTCAACTACACGATTCCCTCACACCAGCTTAATCTGCTGTGGGCATGCTGTCAGAAGTTCAACAGCCAGGAAATGTTGATCCGCTCTTGCTATGCCAAATCAAGATCAGAAACTGCTGTACAGTTATCGTACATGAACTTCAAGCCCTCAAACATATAATGCTTGCTGTGCATGAAAGTCTTGCTAATATACTTCTTAACTCACTAACTCCATATAGCCTAACCATATAACGATACATCCCGATATGCATATACATGTCTGTGTATATACATATATGTATATGTATAGACATATATAATTATACCTACATATATATAGCACCTTTCCTTTAAAAAGAGTGGATGGACCCCAAATACTGTATCCAAGTCCTGCATAAACCTATACATATATATATATACATATATATATGTATACGTACATATATATATATATATATACATATGTACAACATACATAGGTCCCGAATTCCCATGCAATGACTCTTCACATAATATGCATATATATATATATATATATATAGATACTTATTCATCTATTTATATGAGGCTTTTATGATACATGTCTGTATATATACACATGTTGGCAATAATATATAATAGTATAACAATATAATAAAAATAGCTTTAGAGGGAGATGAGAGAACATATATTGTGTAAGTAGCATGGGGGTCAGCAATGGGTATGGACAGCGACATCAATGATTTCCTTGACTTGCTCACCTACGACTGTGAGATCACTGGAAAGAAACGATGTGCTGTCGACTCGAATCTCAGTCTGCCGTGCCCAAAGTCGCCAAAGCAACTGGGCAATGATAGCTTGAACTGTTAATGGTCCACCTACCATGTTTGCCATGAGTCTGCTTCTGCAGTTTCTGCATGGAGGACACCGTTGGCCTGGAAATATTCTCGGCCTAAAGACTCTGCAGATCGCAATGGTATGGAGGACGACAGCCCGCCTCTAGCATCGAGTAAGAAGCCTTTGATGAGACAGCTACAGAGTACCGCCCCAACAGAAGCTCGGCCCGCACATGCAAATCCTGTGTGACAACTCGAAGTCGCCGACCCTTCATGATCCTGCAACACACTCAGGTACCCCTGGCTGTGGCAGTGCAAACCCTCCGCCAAGCGGGTGAAGCTGACCCTTTGTGCATTCCGTGGGAAACCTTGAAACCTCTGGGCTTACGTGACCGCAGAATACGACCCCGACTGAAGCAAAGTAGACCGAATTGTGGCAAAGTCTTGCTGCATGCCAAGTTGCAATCTCAGTGTTTTCGCGAGAACCATGGAGTTTCCTTGTGTTGCTTCAAGATCGGAGTTACAGCGAACCCTTGCATTAGATATGTAGATTATCTACAAAGGAGTTTCACTGCGATGTGGATAATCCACGAAGCAGACGATGTTGGCCTGGTGCATATGCTAGAAGCTGCACTGATTTCCCATTTCCAACATCTTCCCGGATGCAAGAATGAAGCCGATAGCGGGGGTGAAGGTGCTCTGAACCATCACTCTGCTCGAGGGCCCCCGTATTATGTTTACATTACAGGAGGCCGAGCGGATCAGGGTAGATGGGTAGGCTAAACCTATATAGTCTCCGAGCTGGTCCTACCGAGTCGTACAATGGTATATAGATAATGCAGTAACCTCAACCTTTCGACATTTAACTCGTTTGGTTACCTGTTTTGACGATAATCAATACATACTGACATATATATATATATATATATACGATATTCCTTGAAACTGTGTCGGTTTTCTTCATATGTATATGTATCTACAATCTAGATATATATTCATATATATATATATATGTTAGTATATGTCTTATATATACAGACATATAGATGTTTTTGGGCTGAATTGATATACTGCCTTTTTGCACGAGGGTGAGCTCGAAGTGTTCTGCTCGGATATTTAGCAACACCCCCCAATTAATGCAACGTATGCATGCTTGCATGCATGGAAGCGCAACAACATGTCCTAAAGACAAAAAGAGTCGGGCTTCTCATTCAGCAGCTGCGATCATACAGTTGTTTGCTTGCATCGCGGTTACAATTGTTTCGAGCCTATACACATGCAGGTCTTCGTACATGTACTCCTGTTGTACTGAATCCCACCCACACAAAAACGATCCGAGGCAGCTGTCAAGCACACTGTGAAGGTGGCGAAGGCAGCGGTCAAGGACAACCCCAACAGCCAAGCACGTGCCTTGCTTCAATTTGCAGCAGTGAGAACAAATGATGCGGAGTCGGCAGCCCACCGCATCTTTCGAGAACACAATCTCACAGTCGATATCAAAATTGACCGGCTGAATTTAGGGCAGGACCGTTCGGTGAACAGTTTCCCTTTCATCAAACTTTCCACCTGGGTGACCTACCTGTTGGACCACGGCCTCCTGAAGAAGCTGACCGGCATCGAGGATGAACTTCACATGGAAAATGTGCTGTTGGAGTTTTGGTCACGTTACATGGCTTTGTTTCCCGAACATGATCTATGGAGCCACCCAGACATCGACCTCTCCAGGGCGATCCCTGTCTACACCCACACAGATGAAGGCAGGACGTATAAGAAGCGGCCGCTGCTTGTGTTCAGCACCCACGGATGTTTGGGTTTGGGAAGCCAGCCGCAGCAAAGGGCCCATGCAGACGATCCCACAGTGGGTGTGCAGGACATCTCCGTGGAAGATTCCGAGATGAATATGAACTTCATCGGCAGTACCTGGGGTACTCACTTTATCCACGCATCCGTGCTGAAATCCGTGTCTGATGCTGAGCCTGAGGTTATCCCAGGAATCATGAAAGAGTATGCGGCCGACGTGCAAGCTCTTTACAACACGGGTGTGACTGACAGTCGTGGGCAAAAGCGGGTATGGATCGTCCATTGTGGTTCCAAGGGAGATCTGCTGGCTTTGTCCAAGCTCGGGCATTTTACTCGGGACTACACACGCATGCCTCGGGCGGCCCAGTCGAAGCAGTTGGCATTTGGCATCTGCCATCTCTGCCAGGCTGGACGCGAGTATGTGAATGCAGCAAACAATGTTCCCTTTGAAGATGTTTCTTCACGTGCCAGGTGGCATGGCACGATGCATCAGGAGTATCCTTGGGAGCAGATGCCGCCTATCCTTCAAGGTGTTCCCCGACATGCTCCTGGTATGGAGGCTGCCTTCTTTTGTGTTGATCTTTGGCATTGCTGGCACTATGGGCTGGCAAAGGTGTTCGTGCCCAGTGTGTTGCTTGTTTTCCAGGAAACGCTCATTCCGGGTAGCAGCATCGATGCGCGGCTCGAGTGGATCAACAATGATTGGAAGAGCTACTGCAAGAATCACAAGTTCGCAGCCCACGCCATTGAGATCAACAAGGATACCATGGGCTACACCGGCTCCACTTTCCCCACGGGCCACTGGAACAAGGGAGCCATCAGTACGACGTTGATGTACTACCTCGAGTTTCTTTGTGTCTGCCTTGGTGTGGACTGTAACACCCCGAACCCAGTCCACAGGGAGATTGTTACTTGCATTCTGTAGATTTCGGTGCTTTCGATTTCACAGTTAAGAAATCACTCTAGATAATTGTTGTTTTGTGGCTTAAATATATTAAAACTATCGAGATTGTTACTTGCATTCTGTAGATTTCGGTGCTTTCGATTTCACAGTTAAGAAGTCACTCTAGATAATTGTTGTTTTGTGGCTTAAATATATTAAAACTATAAATAAATAAATAAATACATATATATATATATATATATATATGTATATAAACCTGCTCGAAGCAACTATCTAGAGTATATATATATATATGGTATCCAGCAAATGGTTCCGTAGTTTATTACCTTCCATACGAGGCAAAGGCGATCGAGATCATGAATGCGACTCTGTCCGAGCTCTATTCGAAGGGCTTTTGGCTGAGGTCTGATGATGGGAAGCGTCTCGGGAAGTGTCTCAAATCCTTTTTGTTCTGCTACGCTAGATGTGCCCATCTGTGCATGTCTGGCTATGTGAACCACACACTACGTTTCACGATGATTCCCAAAATCCATTTCATGGATCACATAGCAACACGGATGATAATGGACAGCGCCAGGGCGCAGTGGATAGTCAACCCGGTATCCGAATCTGTTCAAATGCAAGAGGACTACATTGGTAGACCGGCACGACTATCGAGACGAGTGAACCCTCGTTTGATCCATCAAAGGGTCCTTGAGAGATCACTGTTATCGATGTACAGAGTTTTACATCCTGAGCGAATCGAGGATTGAAGCAGTGTTGTCGAGAATACAGAGCAGTATTACTTTGCTATCTTAGATAAGGTGGACACGAGTGCCCTGAAAGCATGTTTCTTAAGATGCTTGCAAACAAGGCTCAGGATGCCTCAGTCGCATCATCCACGCCAGAGTGTTGCACATGCGGGCTTTGGAGCTTTTGCTAAACCACATCGGGACTATACTTGGAAACCAATTTAGCAGGAAGCGCTTACATCATGTGCATGTGCTGTTGCATGAGCTTAAGTCTCACGAGCCTGTGCGAATTATCTGTGTTACATCGACACAGCTTGCAGCTTGATCATGGGAGAAGGCATGGGTGGGGAAGTTGGGGAGGGCTTTCGGCTTTTCTTCTCAGGGTTGTCAGGTTCAAAGTCGTGCGATTCAGCGAGACCTTCAATCTAAGCAGCTAAATCCGTCTTAAACCCCAAAATCCATCATTTCGGAAAACCTGGTTTTTTTAGGAGATCCTGGTTCTTCTTAAAAACCCTATATCCATTCAGGAAACCCATAAGTCTAAATAAAGGTCGGCCAGGCCGGTTGCAGGTAGGTTTGGGGGCCTGCCGCGGCCCTTTTTGGGGGGGAGAGCCCCATCCCCAAGACTCTCCCAAGGAGGGCGGGACTCAGAAGCGAGGAGAACCTCAGCCTTCCGCTGAAGGCGGAGCGAGATTTCCTTGGCGAGGTCGTCGGCTTCGCTCGGGTCCCAGGCCGGGAGTGCCTCCAGCGCCTTCGCCGCAGCAGCCTTGCAGGCAGCATCGGCGGCCTCGTTCAAATTCCTTCGCCATGCAGCCTCTCGCCCAAATTCCTTAGCATGGTCCTCCTCGCTAGTGTGCGAGCGAGTCCAATGAAGCTGGGCGAGTCTTTCGCGGCCGCAGGCTTGCGACCAGGCCCACGGGCGAGTACCTTTCTCCTGCTGGGAGAGGACTGCTCTGCAGTCAACCGTGGTGTCGGCAGAGCCTGCGAGGCGGGAGCACAGACGGGCCACTGCGTACGACTCGCCGTCCACCACTGTGCTGCCCGGTGGCAGCACTCCTGTCATCTGGCCGACTTGGCGAAGACTCCCAAGGTTCAGCGCATACTGGGATTTGGGGTCTTCCCGAAACCCTGAACCCTAAACCTTAAGAATCCGACTGTTGATGATATAAATCCTGCATTACCCATAATAAGGAATATGCCATAATTCCCGTAGTTTGGGGCCCTTAAGGTCATGCAGGATTTATATCATCAACCGGAGCATTCGCATGTCGCGCAAGCTCCTCGCACAATCTGGAGTCCCAGGAATACCTGTACTAGGATGCCCAGTAGGCTAGGAATAAAAAGGGCTCCCTTTTGGTAGTGGGTAACTTTATAAGGAACCTAGGACTACGAAAAGGGAATAAGGGTACTACTGGGCATCCTAGTCCATAATATACACACTCTATTGACGACTGTCTTGATACGCCTCTGCAAACGAAGGCAAGCAGCCACTACCCTGCGAAACTCGAATGTCCATATTCCGGTACTAGTCCTTCACCACTATACATCCTACGCGCCGGAAACGAGTTTGTTGCATGTGAGCTCAAGTTTCGACAGCCTCGTACTCACATGGTTTCGGGCACAGGCGCTGCTTCAGATTTCATGGTTCAGGGCTTAGGGTCTGCCAAAAAAACTTGTGGGTGCCGCCGGAGCTCCTTATGGCTCTTCATTACCATCATGGTATAACCTGTATTACTTGCCCAAAAAACTCTCAGACCCCTTGATTCAGGAGTATGCCTGAAATAATGTGCTACGGATCCCCGTCCCAATCGAAGGCACGTTCCTTAAGGAGGGGGTTTGGGAGCTTCCGGGTACGCCTTCATGACGAAGGGCATCAGTGCCAGTGTGGGCCCCTAGGGTTTAGTCAAAGGGGAAAAGGAGGGACCCTTAATGGGGACCCCTACCCTATAATGGGCTATATAATGGGTATATAATAGCTATATTATGGCCAGGGGTCCTTATTGGGGGTCCCTCCTTTTACCCTTTGATTTAGGGTGTAAGGCCATAGAATACTTCTAAACCGCGAAAGCCCTGCTGCTCCCGGGCCGAAACAGCCCTGAACCTTAGGCAGGGTTTAGGGATTAGGGTTTAGCGTTACCTACTTGTCGGGTATCATGGCGAACTAAAGGTTAACCTTTTTGGTTATATAGGGATTATATAGGGACTCTACTACCCAAAACAGGTTAAAGGTTACCTACTCTACTACTAGGGTTATGAAGCCCTTATGACGCAAATCCTGGTACAAAAGGCTCTAAACCCCACGGCAACACTCATCAAACCTGTAAAGCCCGTCAACAAGAGCCTTGTAAACGCCCAAACCCGCCTCTCCCAGTCCCGAATCTTTCCAGGGACCATCGCCATCGAGCAAAAAGTTGGTTGCGTAGTCCTTGTCTGACTTCTGAACCTCTCCTATAACAGCAAGAAATCCTTATATTACGAATAACAATATGAAATAATCCCTAAACCTAAACCTTGACTCCTCAACCCCTAAACCTTAAACCCTAAAACCTGAAGTAACACAAAAGCTAGCCAGAAGAGAGCGAAGAATCGGTTTCTTTGAACACCGAGTAGATGAGGTCACCTTGGCAGCTGAGAGGTGGGTTTAAGGCTTATAGGAGTTTAAGGCTAAGGTTTGGGGATTTAGGGCTTCAGCTTTGAGGGAACTAACCCAGCGATTTTTGGATTTAGGGTTAGGCTTTATAGAGCGACCACGATATGCGAAGCCCTTCATCGGTAGACAGGGTCTTGGGAGTTTTGTCTGTGGGGAGGGGAAGCGCAGCAGTCTACCTAGCGGTATATAGGCGTTCAGGGTTTAGGGAAGTGGGCTCAGGGTTACAGGCTGCATTGTTGATCCTTTTTGGTTTAACCAGCTTGATATTTAGGATCCTGCAACGTAACCGCAGAAACGAACTACGGTTCATACTACAAATCTGCATTACCCTAAGGACCCTAAACTGTGGAAATTATTGTATATTCCTTATTATGGGTTATGCAGGATTTAGATCATCAGCCGTACGATGGAGAGTGTAGGTAGGGTACATAGGGTTTTAAAACTTTAGCATGGCTTGGGGTGAAGAGCTGTGGGCTCCAAAGCACCGAACCTACCCATAGGCCCCGTGGTAGTTCCTTTTTGGGATTACCTTACAGGATTCTATATACGAAACCCCAAAAGGAACTACTTTGGGGCCTTAGGGTAAAGTAGGGACCGTCAATGATCAGAAAAGGGTCTTGGGGTACATCGCACATAACTGTCATCGAGAACCTCTTAAAATAGTATTGATTGCAATTTAGGCCCCCCACAGTGTAAAAGCATCTGTGTCAAGTCGAGGGACAGAACACTGCAACCATGTTCGGCTTAGGTCTTCGGAGTCAGCATTTAAGTTTCGGGTGGCTTGTTCTTAGGAGCATGGGCTCTCAGGGTCACCCGGTCTAAATTACTCACAGACTCCAAAGTCCCTTAATTAAGGAATATACCTTAAATTATAGTAGGATCCTTAATATGATTTAAGGTATATTCCTTAATTAAGGGATATTGGAGTCTCTGGGTGCCTGAAGGCAACAACCTAAGGACCTAAATCTTAGGCTCGCGCTCCTCAAACTGAGTTGGTCCCTGATTAGCACACCCCCATGTTTGAGGACCCTCATATTCGTATCCCGATCATTACCCTTATCCACTGAAGCTCTATCAGTGGTCCACAATCGAATCTCCGAAAATTCGGGGTAGCTTATTTGGGGGTCCATATAGTAAGGATCCGACTATTTAGGGTACTATGTTAGGGTCCCCTATTTTCGTAAACTCCCACATGAATCCCAGGTCCGAGAAGCCCTCCGGAGCCAGTGTCCTGAAAAGTCAACCCTGGAACACCAGATCTTGCATCAGACTCCCATTGGGTGGTTGTCAATATTAGAGTTCCTTCTTGGGTCCTTACTATAATGCGGCACCTAATATTGAGGGTACCCCAGAAGGGACTATAATTGTGACAACCACCCATTTCCCGAAAGCTCTAGAGCCGCGAGACACAATATTGTAGTGGCATTAAGATACAAGCATCACAAGTTAGATCCTAAGCCCTAGCTCGGTAAGGCCCTTACCCAAAGAGCCCGCAACGCGGAAGCCTTCAACCAACAAACTCTGAATGAGGCACCATTCAGGTCGAACATAAAGATGTCGTAGTAACCTGCTTGGCTGAATGTTGTCTTATGGTCTAGGGTTCAGGGCTGTAGTGGTTTGCTGAGTAAGGTTGAGGCATT